TGTTAGCTTTCTACTGCTGTGACAAAATTCTTGAAGCACTTCACTTAAAAGGATGAAGTTTCTTTGTGTTCATGGTTTCAGAAGCTCGAGTTCATGGCAATGTGGCCTTGTTGCCTTGGGAGCCAGGGTGAGGCAGTATGTAATGGAGAAACTTTGTCTCCTGATGGGGCCAGGAAGCAAACAAGAGGAGCACCTGGGGTCCCATGTCATGTACCCAACAACTTAACTTCTTTCTGTTAAGCTCTACCTCCTAAAGGTTTCACTACCTCCCAAGAGACCTGGAGGCTGTTGACTAAGCCTTTAACACATGGGTACTGGGGTGGGGGTGAGGCATTCCCAATGCAAATGGTATCATAAACTCCTGAAACATGCCAGTGGGTGGTTAATGTACATACCAAAAATAATAAAACGTGACTCAAAATTTACAAATAACTTACATATACACATAAAATTGAAAACAAAGCTCTATACATTACCCCAATGGAATACAAAGATTTTAAATTAATATATTAATTTCAATATAAAATGTTCTTGTACAACTATCCTCCAAACCATAAAGAATGTCCGTACATGCAGAACCACTGGTCATGTGACTCCTATGAGTACAGAAACACCCAGGAAATTAAAAAATGTATTTTTATGTTATGAGTGTTTTGCCTGTATGTATCTGGGTATACCACATGCATGCAAAGCCCAAAGAAGCCAGAAGACAGCATCGGATCCCTTGGACCTGGAGTTACGGTGGTTGGTAGCTGCCATGTGGGTGCTGGGACTCAAACCTGGGTTCCCTGCAAGAGCAGACAGTGCTCTTAACCACTGAGCCATCTCTCCAGTTCCCATTGAAACATTTTTGATGAAAATCATGCAACAATGGTTTTTCCTTAAGTCCACGATTTTTAATCTTAAAAAAATATTACATTTGTGTTCGTGTATTGTGTGTGTATACCACAGCACACACATGGAAGTCAAAGGACAATTTGCAGGAGTTGGTTCTTTCCTTCCACCAATGAGGATCCTGGGGATGAAACTCAGGTTGTCAGGTTTGACAGCAGGCACCTTTACTCATTGAGCCATCTCATTGACTTATTTTTTAATCTTTAATTTTTTGCAATGCTGGAGATTGAACTCAAAGTATCATGCATGCTAAACACATGCTATTTCCAATGGGGCATATCCTCGGTCCTTTAAGTCCAATAGCTTCATCTTATTTTCTTTTATTTTTATTTAAATTATTGTGGTAAGTGTAGAATATAGAAATAATATGGCAGAATTTCATGTACCTTTACCGATTTCCTGTATAGTAACAGCTTTCAAAACTACAGTAAAATAACACCACTGGGATGCTGACACATCGAGATAGACATTATGGCGATCTGTTATAGTGCCTTTTACAACCTCTTTGTTTCCATCGTACTGACTCTCTAATCTCTGCCACTTATCAAACTGCTTTCCATTTTCACAATTTTGTTATATCAAGGATGTTACAACAGAGCCAGGTGAGGTAACATATGCCTTTAACCCCAACCTTCAGGAGGCAAAGGAAGGCAGATCTCTGTGACTTCAAGGCCAGCCCAGTCTATGTAACAAGTTCCAGGCCAGCCAGGGTTACACGAAAGACCCTGTTTTTTTTTAAAAAAAGAAAAAAACAACTTTGTGATTACAATGAAACAATACATGTAACCCTTGGGAAAGTTTTAGAAAAGTCAGTGTAATTCTAGGTGATTCATCTGAGTTTATACACACTTCAGTGGTTCATTTCTTGTATTCCTGAAAGTATCTGAATATTCATTTAGTTCAAGATTACTTGACTATGTACCAGTGATGCATCAGTTTGACCTTCCACAATTTCATTATCAGCCAGTGTGTGAAGGTCTTGTGTGATGGAATTCTGTCTCCCTCAAAATTCCCAAGCCCTAACCTTCAGTGTGATTGAACTACAGAAGTAATTACAGTGCAGCAAGCAAGAAAAAGAGACCTAACCCAATAAGAATAATGTTCTTACAGGAAGAAAAACAAGAAAGCATGCTTCATTTCCACTTTGTGAGGATGTTTACAATGCAAGAAGAGATACCTTTTAATATTCTGACCATTTGGCACCCTCATCTTGGTACGTCCAGCCTTCAGAACTATGAGAATCTCTGTTCTCTAAGATGCCTAGTTTACAATACTTTTGTTATAGCAGTCTGAACTGATACATAAAAAAGTCTTTTCAAAATTTAAATCACATTACAATATCTGAGTCCAGTACTTCCCTAGCTTAGTAGAGTTCAGCCTGAGTCCTAACGTCCTGGAAGTTGCCTCTAGAAGCCTTTGACTCCTTTTTTTCTAGCTCCACTTCCTAGTACTTTTCCATCATCCATTTTGTTTGTTCTTATCCATTAACAGTGGCTTTCTTCCTGGTTGTTGAACCCCGAGGCTGTGTTCTCATTTCAGGGTCTCTGTACCTGTGTCTCCTGCTGAATTCTTTTTCCAGTATTTACATGCTCACTCCTTATTGTATCTTTTTCCGTAGCACGGATCTCTTTTTAATAAATCATTAAATTATGTATTATATTTCATCCCCCTGCTAAGAATATAAGATTTGTCTGTTTCACTAAGTAAGCTGGCACTTAGGTTAATACATAGACACACACACACACACACACACACACACACACACACACACACACACAGACCAGTGATAGGCACCAAGTCTCTCAGCAACAATTCTGCTCCTACCACACCGTTTAGCTTTGGTTTTATGTTTTCCTCTCTTCGTGCAATATAAAAGAATTGGATCATATTAGAAAGGAAGACTCCTCTTCTAGTTACATGAATCTTTCCATGGTTCTAACGGCCCATTTCCTGTTTGCTCTTTTGTTCCTTGCTTGGCTTTTCCTGGTATCCCTCTTGCTCTGTCTGCTATATTCTTCTCAACTCCCTCCTTGGCTCATAATGTTCATGGCTCTAAACACTAGGTACATTTCAATTATTTTGAATTACTTCCACACACTCAAACAAAAAACATTTTGATAGAGTTATGTCTTCTGGCATTAACTGATCCTAAAGCTGACATTTAATTCTAAAGTCTGTTCTAAGTAGTATGAGAACTTATAAAAATGTTGACTTAGAAGTTATATCGATACTCTGAAAGCATAATTTTACACAAAATGGCACTTCAATTTATATTACAATTGGGCACTACACCTTTATCCTTTTAGCACAGGATATGAGCAAAAAAACCTCAACTCTTCCATGTCCTCATTTTGTAATTAATGTTAGAGAGATATTTAAGATTACAAATGCTTGACCGGATAGGACTTAACATATATGACTGAATGCATGAGATCCGGTTGGGGTGGTATGGGGGGGGTATGATGAAGAAGTATGAAATGCACAAAACTCCATAAAAATATTTTTTAAAGATTCTGTTAGGAACTTCTCACAGAATGTTGTCAATGATATTTAGCTATTTATTCCTTTCTTAAATATTTTATTTATTATTTTTATTTTATGTGTATGAGTTATTGCCTGCATGTAGGTAGGTGCACCAGTGTCGTGCAATGCCTGCAGAGGACAGACGAGGCTGTCGGCGCCCCTGGAACTAGAGTAACGGACAGTTGTTAGGGGCCATGTGGGTGCTGGGATTCGAACCCAGGTCTTCTGCAAGAACAGTCAGTGTTCTTAACCACTGATCCATCTATACAGCCCCTTAGCTACTTTATTTCTAAACCAGTTTAATCGACCTGAAACTTCATAAACTGATGTAAAGGTATGCATATTGTCCTTTAAGAAACAAAATGTTTGGCTTTCAACATCCTCAAGAATGACTTCAGCTAGTCAAAACCAGTACCATTCTAGTTCTTAACTACAGTATAAGCCATTAAATTAGATTATCTGAAATTAGCTTAGATTTTGACTATTTTTTCACAGGTATTTCTTAAACCATTATGCACAGTATTATTGACTGATTACTGAAGACTGAAAAATAAAGCAATCCTTTCTTCAAAGAATTTAGAGCGTAAAGAATCAATTCATTCATCCTGAAGTAACAATGGGTTTTAATACAGAGCAAAATTTAAACAAACTATTTTGTACTATTTTATCTCAGGTATTTTCTTTTTTTCTCAGACAAGCTCAAGTCTAAATACATTTCCCCATGTAAAAAATAAACTATATTGAAATTATATTAGCATAGAAGAATATATGAAGTTATTTTGCTAAAGTTTAGTAGTGGCACACATACGTGATGATTGTATAACTTTTGAAAATATTTTTACTGATTCAAGAATGCCATACAGTGTATTTTGATCATATTCATACCCTCTTCCCCGTTTCCTCCGACCTTACTAACCCCCACTTCGTGACTGCGTAACTTGAAAAATTGGCATGCATACCTAAAGAGATGCTGTATTTTCCCAAATAATTCCGTCTCCTAAAGAAGGGAGAAAAAATAAACAAACAAAAACAACGATACGAGATAGATAAATGAAACTAGGAACCTTAAGGCATCAAAATTTCACTTTGAGAGACTAGTCAAATATTTGCTGAAAGGAAAGTTTATTGGTTTCTACAGAAAACGTAGGTGGCAGCATCACCTTTAAAAGAGATGGCTCAGCGGTTAAGAACATTGGCTGTTCTTGCAGAACACCCGGGTTCGAATCCCAGCACCCACATGGTAACTCCAGTTCCAAGGGACAGCCTCTTCTGTCGTCGGGGCATCGCAAGACATGGGTGCACTTACCTACATGCAGGCAATACACGCATACGCATAAAATAAAAATAAATAAAATATTTGAAAAAAAAAAAAGGTTTTATTCCTCCAAGCCTGACAGAAAACTCGGGGACAAGCAGGTTCCTTCAAGCATAAAGGTTCAAAACCATATAAACTCTAGGAGCTAGTTGATTGGTTACATAAGAATGACGTAACGCACCCAAAACCCACTGAGCATCAGGTTCCGCGAGCCAAGTCTGACTCGGCTTTCCAATTGGTCCCTACGGCAGCGAGCAAGGACCTCTCCTGCACGTTGACCTCCGGTTCCGGATCCGCTGGCAAAGATGGCGGCCGCCAGGTACTGGAGGTTTGTTCCCCGTGGCCGGGGACTGTCCCTGCACACCGCTGCTGAAGCGTCCGACCTGGCCACGGACACGAGCGGCCCAGATGTAGCGGCGACGTCTCGCGTGCGGTACCCGCCCATCTTGGCTTCCCTGACCGCCGACAGCGAGGCGGCGCGGCAGCGGAGGGTGCAGCGGTGGCAGGCGGCGGTGCACGCGGCCCAGTCGGTGGACGAGAAGCTGCGAATTCTCACGAAGATGCAGTTCATGAAGTACGTGGTGTATCCGCAGACCTTCGCCCTGAACGCCGACCGCTGGTACCAGGGCTTCACCAAGACCGCGTTCCTGTCGGGCCTGCCGCCCGCGCCCCCGCCGCCCCCGCTGGACCTCGCGGCCTTGCGCGCCGCCGCCTGCGACTGCATCCTGCAGGAGCACTTCTACCTGCGCCGCCGCCGCCGGCCGCCCCTCTTCCAGGAGCGCCAGACCCTCGCCGCGCCGTTCCTGGACCAGTTGGTGGCCACCCTCGTGAGTCTGCTCATCCCCCTGAACCCAGTCCTGGCCACCGCCTCCCTGGGTGAGCTTCGGGACGCCTGCCCAGGACGAGGGACCTGGGGCGGTTTGCTCTTTAGGTTCGCTCTCCAACCTTCTGGTTTCCAGGGCGCCCAGCTGGTTTAGTACCACTTGTGTTACGACTTGGAGACCGGCGTCTGTTGATCTGCCTGCAGTTGACTATTTGTTAAAGTCTTGTCACTATGCCGAAGCCCATCAGAGTGCCGCCAGGCCTTGCCTCTGTTTTGTTTGTCCAATCGAATGGAGTAGTGGTTAAGAGGTTTCTAGAGAGTGGCACCCGCTTGACTATTCCACAGGAAAAAAATATGACCATATTGCAAATTCATTAACCTCTTATTTTTAAGTTCAAGATGAGAATTATGGTGATAACTGCTTTGTCCTAGAATTGTGAAGTTTAAATTAGCCATTAGATAAAATATCCAACATTTACTCACTATGTGCCTGGACCCGTTCCAAACTTTGTGTGCCATCAGATTAATCCTCACAATAACACAGTAGGTATCATGAATTCATTGTATAAATGAAGAATTTAAAAAGGCATACACATTAATTAAGAACCTATATGTAGGCTTAGGGGGTCAAGATTCAAACCCAGTAGATAGCAATTTCTAATGGTATGATACAGACATGAAAAATAATGTATTTATAATTTAAAAATCAGTGTTTGTAATGCATTTATTTCATGTCTACTACACAAAAGGTGTCCTTAATTTTTTCTTTGATTCATTTTTATTTTTGCGTATGAGTGTATGAGTATTTTATGTGTATGCGTATTTCCTCATAGTTCCAGTTCCAGGTGATATGACAGAGGCCTCCTCGGGTGCTATACCCATGTGCTGCACTTTCATACATGCAGGCAAAACACTCACACACATAAAATTCTTTAAGAGACCAAAGTTTCTCATGTATAAAATGCTAATGATTTACAACTGTGTATACATTTTTATTGGAGTTGTTGCAAAAATGGAAGTTAGTACTTCATAGGACAGGTTTGAATTCTTCAAGCTATTTCTGTATCTAGTAACTGGTGTTATTCTTTAACTAACCATCTTTATTCTTACCCGAGTAATCTTAATTATTTAGCATAATTAACTTTTGAGTGCCATATTTGAGACATAATGATTAGCTTATCATGCAACCCAGACTTTTTTTACATCAGAGTAATTTTTGGTACTTTTTTAAACATAATCATTCTTAAGACTAAGTCAATAACCTATTTTATCTAAATGATTAAGAAAATTTGAAATATCTTTTGATAGATTATAAGCGCCCTGTTCACTTTTACTGGTTGCGTGGTGAAGAAAGTATTCCTGCTGGTCATCGAAAAGGCCGAATTGATGCTTTACGATACCAAATAAATGATAAACCGCACAACCAGATTCGGATATCTGAACAACTCCCAGAGGTAAGGGTTTGGTATTTGTTGACTTTAAGGCAGAAGCATTGCCATAGGCAGACCAGGTAACCAGGTGAACCAGATACAGGATTTGAGGTAGAGCTCTGTCTTCCGTGTTTGTGTTACGAAGACAGCTCATCTGAAAATGATTTTCAGCTTTCTAATTGGTATGTATGTTAGACAGAAGTTTAAATTTAAGTAGGTAAAGCATTGGTTGTTCAAACCATATGTCTTTTAACATAAATGAAGTAATCACAGTTTTTAAACTTTTCCACTTGTACCACCATGGGAATGTAATATATATATATGAAATAGATATACAAATCAAGAGTTTACTCATAATTGTTAATTTATTTCAAAATAATTCTTTGGCATATAATTTTACCATTTATTAAAGTTGAGAACAGTTTCATCCACTGGAGTCTAGTTAGTCTATTAGGGTCTCTCCCTTATCTCTCACCTAGCAGTAATCAGCTGCCGATCTTTCTTCGGCTAAGGTTATGGCCTGCTACCCATTTCCCCAATTCAATGCTGGGTTTTTGTCTGATTGAGTTTGCATGGGGCTTGTGCACACTGACATTTGCTATAAGTTTGTGTGAGCAAGTTCCCAGAGGTCTGAAACCCAGTGGATGAACTTGCATTGAGAGACATCTGGGTACACAAACTTGACTCGATAGGCCTAACATATGACAGAATGCATGAAATCCAGGGTGGGTGGGTGGGGAGGGTGCAGATGGGGGGAGGGGTATAATGGGTGGTTGTAGGAGTATAAAGATGATTAAGATGTTTTGTAAGAAAAGCACAAAACTTCAATAAAATACAAAAACCCATGTAATTAGGAAATATAAAATTGTAAGAATTTTAGAGTCAGCATTTTCTTAGTTGTAAAATCTTCAGGTTTACAATGAAATGTTTTGAAAAGGATGTTTTTCAAAGTAGTTTGTTTCAAAGTAGTTTCCAACAGTAGTTTGTCTTTGTAACCAGTAATTCATAGTTTTTGTTGTACACTGATTCAAAAAAATGAAGCCTTACATCCTAATGGGATAGATAGGCATATATATCTGTACATAAAGAAATCTATGATCTTGAACATTTTTGACATTTCTTCTTTTTGGGGGTGCAAAGGATGTGCCACTCCAAAAACATCAAGGTCAGAGGACAACTTGGAGGATGGAATTCAGGTTGTGAGCCTTGGCAGCAAGCACTTTCATCACTGAGCCAACTCACCAGCCTGACCTCCAGCATTTCTCATGTAACTGTCAATGCTGAGGCTGCCTCTTCATAAATATGCATTACTAAATACAAAATAAAAGCAGTATGTTTGAAGCCATTTCAGAAGTGGTTGGAAATTTGGCCTAATCCCAGCCATTTTTTTCCTAATGAAAAAGTCTTCTTTTCTATAATTAAATAAGAATAGAAAACTTAGCATGTGCAGTAAAAATCACTGCAGTTCATAACACAACAGTAATCACACATCTGAGCCACAGAGTTTCAGGCAGTGTTTCTTGCCATTGTGTGCCGTGAGAGCATGCACCTTAAAAAGCCACACAGTGTGTTCAGAACCAAGGCTACAAAGGAGTCACAAGATGCAGCATGGGCACATATTGTCAGAACCCCTAAGGTTCTTTTGTTTTTTTTAATTTATTATTTTTTTATGTATATGTGTGTATTGCCTGCATATATGTAGGTGCACCCATGTCGTGCAGTGTCCGCAGAGGACAGAAGAGGCTTTCGGATCCCCTGGAACTGGAGTTATGGACAGTTGTTAGCTGCCATGTGGGTGCTGGGATTTGAACCCGGGTCTTCTGCAAGAACAGTGTTCTTAACTGCTGAGCCATCTCTCCAGCCCCGGTTCTTTTTTTTTAAAGTTTTGGATTCAGAAGCCTTTTACTCTTGACAAATTTTTCTTGACCCTCAGATTCAGTTACCCAACCTTTATGTAGCCATTGTTTGAGGAGATGATATAGTGTGCCAACTAGTTATAGGTCAAGGGTTTTAAAGTTAGGAGCTAGCTCATTTTATGTAGGAGAGCCATTATTGTATTGTCCATAACTTCGTGCTTCACTTTTTTCATAGAGATCCGAATAATAGGTCATTTAGGCTATAGAGGGCAGGAATCTATTGCAAACTATTCAGCCCTCGTCTTGAGTTTGGAAGGGAACAACAGAACATGGTATATAAATGATTTAAATGAGTGCATATGATGCATTCCAATAAAGTTTTGTTTATGATAAAGTAAATGGCAGGCTCATCACTAGATAGTAGTGTAGGTAAGCACCTCTGATATGAAGTCTGAAACACTCCAAACATCAGAGTATTTCAGATTTTTGGAGTAGGAGTGCCCAACCTGCAGACTCTGCAGATACTCCGAAATCTTAAAAACCTCTGGGATCTGAAACACTTCTGGTCTCTGTTTTTTTGGATTAAGAGATACTCAACTTGTATGACATTAGTTTGTAAGAAAGACTTCATTTAAATAATGTAGTAAGATTGTGAATGAAGTAGACGAAAATGTTGCTGAATTCACTCTGTGTTCTTTTTCTTTAAGTTTGTGCCATTGGACTATTCTGTTCCTGTAGAAATTCCTGTTATGAAATGTAAACCAGACAAGCTTCCATTATTCAAGCGACAATATGAAAACACCATATTTATTGGCAAGTTTCTCTTTATATATTGTAGCATAAATATATCCAAAATGTGTTGTTAGATGGTGAAATATAATGAAAACTTAAGTTTTATGTTTTGTTGTTTGGAGACAGGGTGTCTAGCTCAAATTGCCCTTAATCTCGCTATTTGGCCCAGGTTGGCCTTGTGGTAGTCTTCCTGTCTCCGCCTCCTGAGTGTTGGAATTGCTGGTTGTGCACTACTGTACCCAGCTAAAATTTAATTCTTGAAGACAGACAGATTTGATGGACTATGAACAGCATAGTTCATGGTTTTAGGTTATTGTAGCATAAATGAAAATCAGAGAGAAATTTATCTTGTAATTTGAATTTTTTTTTTTTTTTTTTTAGTAAATGAGCAGTATTTTACCTTTGTGAAGAGTTATACATGGTCTTTTTGTTTT